AGCATAAGCTTTCGTGTGTAAGATCCTCGCTTCTTCAGATGCAAGTCTTGCATCTGAAGAGGTGAGGTTCTTCCCCACGAAAGCTTATGCTCCCAGTACTTCTGTTAGTCTCAAAGGTGCCACAGGACCCTCTGTTGCTTTTTATTGGTCCTTCTGTCATTTTACTTCCTGAAATCATCTGAACAACAACATTTTGAGACTGATTTAATCTTCTGTAAGCCTCAGTCTAAGAGCTGGCAAACCCAAACAAACCTTTGGACACTTTTTGTATTCAGAGTTAATATTATTGGAAGACACATGTCAAGTAAGTACTTTATCATGACATTTCTGTACAACAGATTTCTTATATTAGAGGAGTATTTCCTGTCAGCCAAACCATAAGCTGTGCAAATAAGATAGAAAAGCACATTTCTAAATCATTTTCTGAAATCTGGCATGCTCTGAGGGTGATGATGAGGATATAAATAAGTGTGTTGCATGGCACCCCAAATCCATACGCTACGCACAGACAGAGACTGCGAACACTCAACTTTCATACCTTCGGTTTGCAAGTGCTCTTTTCTGGTTGGGTAGAAGCAAAGACCCAGCATCAGCTATTTCTCCAGAGTAAATGAAGTGATTGATCTGGCTAGGATAGCCTAAACCTTTTACTCATTTTAGAATTACTGGAGATTCTCATGAAGGCGTCTATCTTTGTAAGCCTATCACATCTGTGGAAGTTAGCAGGCTCCCCGGTTCTGGAACCCTTCACTATATTGTATGCTCCTGTGACTGAAATACCTTATTGTTATTTAGATTGCGGTAGCACATGGAATCCCCAAGCAGGACAAACGTCCCTTGTGCTAGGTATTCTACACAAACGGAACAGCCGGTCTCCATCCGCCAACCATACAATCTAAATATTGATGTTTGTAGTGAGACACAGCAGCCTCCTCGTACTTCAGCAAGGTCATTTGAAACATAGCACTGCTCTGGTTGGTTCTCTCTAATCCAGGAAAACACTAACAACAGCTCTTACTCATGTGCTCACGTTGTTCTTAGACAGTCACCCCATTCAGTCAGCATACTGGGTTAGCTGGTTGAGAAGCGAAGTCAAGGAGCTTTTGTCAGTATGGTGATCAACTCTTTATCTCCCCACAAAGTTCTCCGATTTCCGAGGTAAGTGTCGATTAATATTTTCTCCAATCATTACCAATTAGAGAATCCCCAGAACATGCTAACTTCCCCCAAGCATCAAACAGTCACAGAACTCATGCAGTCCTAGAGACACTGACCTTTGGCCTCTTGCAATAATGCAGCAATACTATTAGTGTACATTTCTGTCTGTCGCAGCTCCACCAGTGGTAGGAAGAAGGTCTCCAGCATGGTGTTCAGAGACTGAAGCAGTGCAAAACGCAGACGTAGACTTTCAATGGGAACATCTAAGATGGGGGAAAAGTTCAGAAACAGAGAGTTAAAGGACAGGATAGGAGTCCCCAAACTCATCACACCGGCACCCATTCTGGCATAGTGACCTAGTGACCACAGACTGTGTGGGCCCTGCAGAACGAACTACCCTCATGTCCATTAGCAGCAGCCCCTGCAGGCCAGGGTAGAGACACACTGACAGGGTTTTGTGTAGGGGAAGCCTGCACTGCCATTGCTTATGCTGTTCCTTTTCTGTGGTGACCCAGAGGACTTCAGTTTCCAGGGCTGTCAATCCAGTGCTGAATTCACAGCCCTTCACTACGTGTTTCACAGTGAATCCATAAGCAATCAATAACCAGGAACTGAAGAGGAATACAAGCGTATGAAGTAATAACTAGAAACCCCCCAATCTGTGCATACTCAGCAGACAAGAGACTCTGGGATCAGCTGCGTCAGCTGGATCCAAGTAAACTTCATGTGGGTGCAGTCGTGCCGGGGTAATGGCAAGATGGCGGCAGAGTCGGTTGATGTACTGCACAAGGGCTACGTCCATTTCCAAAGCCCACTTCCGGGATGCTTTCTGAGCGTGTCTCGCGTCAATGCAGGCACACCTGAAGAACAAGGGGATTAGAACTGTTACATGCAAATGCTTCCCTGGACTGTATTAACCATGAAGCCAGGTGGCTTTAGGTCTCTCCTTTTCCCTTTCCCTAAGTACAACTCCTTTAGCCTAGAGATTAGAATGCTTCAGATATGAGGGAGAACGAATCATTATCATCCCCCCTTGCCTGACTTCCATTACCTGCTTACTAGGCTTACTTACTGCCCTGGGCACTCTCTACTCTAAGCTCTTAAGCAGACAAGGGAGTGGGATATAGCAGGCAGGCAATTTGCAGCTCAATACCAGGGAAGAGGATCAATCCATTTAAGGGACTTCTCTGCTTTGAAATGGTAACAGGGAAGAAAGAAACATGATGACTAAACATTCTACTCTGTACTGGCTCCTTTAAAACAAGTGGAGAAATCTACCGAAGCAGTTTCAATACCATGAGGCACAGAATGCAGGTTTGATGTGGCACGAAGCCAGAGAAGGCCAGTTCAGGTAACAGCTGGCAGTGCAGTTTTTGACAGATCAGTTTATTATGGATTTTGGAAGTAAGAGGGACAAAATGAATTAATTTTGTTTAAATCAGGTTTCCACAATTCAGGTGTGATCCTCCTAGCTAGCATGTGGGAGCCAGGAACACTCATCCTGGCAGCTGAATATGAATCGAGTCCCTTAAGTAACATTCTAAGAAACTATTTAACAATTCTATGTTGAGGCATTGTAGCCATGTCCAGAAGTGTACTGAGCATTAAGAAGCATCAGACTAGCTGGAGTAGAACTGATCCATTCCAAACACGTTCAGATTAAGCACTGAATTCTATACCACTTTTACAAAACATGTATCGCACCTTTCAAAATGAAGATCATATCCACAGGACAAAATAGCTCTCCAGACACTACGGATGTCCTGTTTGGCTCGATCAACAACAAATCTGTGAAATCCATCCAGTGTCAAATACTTCTCTTCTGGAACTGACAGCAGAGATGCAAGTATCAAGCAATTAGTAACTTACCAGAAAAAAATGTATATCAAGCAGGCTTATTTCCAGAGTGTTTGCTTTTGTCTGGCTACCCTCAACTGACAGCCGAAACTCAAGCTCCCTGCCTGCTTCCCACTGGTCTTGTCCTCTCCACAAGGGACAACTCCAAGACAGCCTTTCCCAGAAGAAAATCTGAAAACATCAGGGTTGCTAGGGTTGAATTCAGTGTTCATTTCTCCCTTATTAACGACTCCATCCCTGTAATTCCATCACGGAGCATTTCTACCTGAGAGGGAGCTCTATGCTAGCTCTCCTATAACCTGACCATGTGTTTCCAAAACCGAAGGGTGGAGCCACAGAACGAACCCTTGTTCTCAAGTCTTACTGGCCCGGGAGTGGAATATCAAGTGAGAGCCTTGCACTCCATTCCCCTGCCTGGCGGTGCCAGACCCAAGATTGCCATGCCAGCTACGCTGCATTTCTGAAGCTTTTATTTCAGCTTAATAGATTACAAACGTCTTACTACAAAGAAACCAATTCCACACTAAAACGGAGGAACACAAACACAGGGCAAGTCCCATTGTTCACTCACATTCTGTCTCCATTACACATTGCCTTTATACCCTAAGCTCTTTGGATGTAGAGGAAGACTAGTTCCCTGCCCCAAGTGCTTAGTGCGCCGCTGGAGCTATAATAATCACGTGCCAAGTTCTGCCCTCATTTCCCCCAGGGACTCCAGATTCACACTGATACAAGCGAGAGTGGAAATTGGACCAACATTTGCCATTAGTTTAATCTTTTCAACAACGTGTAAATTAACCTCATTTAAAAAAAGACAAGTGGTCTTTCATTTTTAGTCTAGAAATACCTGGCCACTTTACATGTTTGACATCTTTACCCTTTGATAGATAACAGGTTTTCAGAGATAAAGGAATGAGAAGAATTTCTAGACAGCCCCAACCTTCTTGTTTCTTTGTAGGAGACTTCTCTGGGTCCTTCTCATCAGGTTTGCCCTTCTCTGGAGATTTTGGCTTTACAGTAGGTTTTTTCTCACTTAAAGCTGTTCTGCTATGGGACAGAAACAGTTTTTTGGTTAGAACGCACATTTCCTTAAATGACTGAGTGTGGGATTAGTCTAAAATATGAAATATTGTTTAACATAATAAATGATGTATGCCCTCAAAGCCATGAGTTATTTTAGGTCGCCTCTTGATTTTTTTAAAAATTTTCTTTTAAAATCATCTTCTGCACACCAGTATGTCAGAACACTGACCAGAAAAAGCTAGTTCCATGCAGAAAAGCCAGCTGTTTTAGGACTGCAGAAAAGTTCAAGGCACTAACCTGACACTATTGAGCACAGACTTTTCTTTTGCAGGTGGTTTAGTAACCGGACGTTTGGAGCTCACAACTTTCACTGGATGTTGCTCTTTGCCTGCCTTGTTATACTTGCTCTTGTCAAACTTAGGCTTGGACACACCGTATTTCCTTAAAATCTTCCAAAAGAGAAATGAATGATGAGCCAATATTTTCAAATTACCCCAGGAGAGTAATTAAAGAGGTGTTTTACACACAGCTACCTGAGTGAGTTGGTCCTCCAGCACCTTCTTTGGTGGGCGGACATTTGTGAAGAAGACATGGAGAAGGTTTCCAGGAGTCTGGGAATTTATTTGCTCTTTGCTCAGATAAATATCAGCAACTTTAATGGGTTTCGCTGGAGTCAGGCTCAGCATTTGTTCAGAGTGACCACAGCTCTTAAATATTTCCGAGAGGACTTCTCGAGCACCTGGGACCAATTTCTCACCTAATACAAAAAATTGCAATACAGTACAAATCCAACATGAAAAGAGAGTTTAGAATTAAGACACTGGGAAGATGTGTTTCTATTCATTCACTATATTATTTAAAAAAAACTTGTGCTCTAAAATACTAGACAGCAAATAATTTAGAAAATAAAACAAAGCAGTCATGACATTTTTAAAGTTCAATGGATGGTACTGCAGACAGTGCCTTCCATTTATTTTGATCCACTACGTTAGTGTAATTTTGAGTGACATCAACAATTGATTTAGTTATCCAGCAGATCCCGGGGTGCACATCACAATTTGCATAGGTACACAACAGTGTTTATGTCAATAATTGAATTAATTGTTCTCTGAGGCCAATTCTCTCCCCCCCCTCGCCCCGGATTAATCTTTTCTCCCCCTCATTTAGAATTTAGGCCCCATCCAACTGATATAATTTTCTACATCTTTCTATGATTTGATTCAAGAGGTTTTGATCACATTGTTAGAATAAAATTAACCGTTGATTGATGTAAAATTCTGCTCAGTTACTCTGGATTTGCCCCAGCGTAACTCCGTCCAAGTCAAGGAATAGTTTGGTCTAATATTTGTAAATGGGTTAAAAATCACAATTTTTTTTCCTGTCGACTATTAAATAAGTTAATCATGAATAATATTGTATTTACTATCTGACTGATCAGCTTTAGCGATTGTTGAATACTCTAATTGTCACAAATCCCCTCCCCCCAATCTATTGGCAAGTAATTTATACGAGAACGATTTTTTCCATTGTCAGTCAGTCTGTCAATGAATTATTCTGCATTTACACCAGCGTAAGTGAGAAGAATGTGACCACTGCATAAAACCTGGAAACAAGGTATTTACCAATATGAAAGATACACACCTTTTATCGATTTATCATTAAAATAGTCTTCTAGGACTGGGCTCCCTTGCGTATCAAATAAACTCTGATTTACAGTAGATACAGTTAAAATCTCCTCAGTTGACATTTCCATTAGTTCATCTTCACCATCCAGACTTGACAAACCAATCAGATCACTACTGTTAAATAAACTGGCTCGGATTTTCTCTATTTTAGCTCGTGACCTTATCTGCATAAATAACGAAAGTAGTTACAAGGAATTCTGATGGGGAACAAATTATCTGTCATTTATATTGGTTAAGTCTTGCATTCTCTTTTCTTGCAGAGGTTTAACATTACACATGTGCGACATTAATCCTCTGATACCAGAATTCAGATTCACCTGGCAATACATCCACTCTAGGAAGTGGGTTCTTTGAAACCACCATACCCTGGGTTAATTACACAGGCCTCTGAGAAATGACTATTCCATTTCTTAAGTTTGGAGGCAACTCTCAGCAGCCTGGAGATAAGAAAATGTTAGTTCTAGATCAACTTGAAGGTTTCAGGGTCACCTGCAGTTCTCCTCAACTGTGCAGTATTTAGAAAATATCTACATAAAATTGGCCCTTGAAACCAGAGCTATTGTTCCATCTCCCTAACTTTCTTGGAAGCTGTGAATATCAGTAATGCATCATTATTGGAGTAGCTACAGACCAGGTGTAGGGTTCAACATGGTTATGTTACCAATTTCCTTGTACAGAGTCTATTGCTTGTTTGTTTCAATGTTAATAGCTTTGGCTCAATTAAAAATTAAGACAGCTGAATACATTCCTTTGGAGTAAACTATATTTTCTTCTGTAAGAGGAGCTGAAACACAAGCCTAATTCTGAAGCTGCAACAAACTTGAGGCAGATGTTACCGAAAGCATCTGGAAGCCCGGGGGAGATTTTTCAAATGTGGGATTTAGGAGCACTAGACTTTCAATAGCATTTGCAGTCCTTTGGAAAGGAGAATTTTAAACAAGCAGATGTTACCCCACATATGCTACCCTTTCGGCAACAAAGTTCAAAACCATTCAATGTCAAACCATAATACTGATGGAATCAAGTACATTCTTAAAGTCACTAAAGTAATAGACTCTAAAAACCCGCAGTGACTTTACACTGTTGCATTCAGAAAGGATGTTGATTTTAAAGGTTCTGATAAAGGCAAGAGAAAGTGTTTAGAGTCACTGCATTGTGATCCCTGGGGCAAATTTGAAGATAATTTAGTACAAGAAAGCATACCCATCAAATTCTAATTGGAATGCATTTTATGCGTGTCCTAGTTAGATAACATAATTTGTGCTGAACTATTGCTTGTTTATAGTACCTGCAACTCTTCAGCCAACATACAAAAGTGAATTATTCAAGTTGTAGTTTTACCCCCACACCAGTCACATGGAAAGGAAACACCCTCTTTGGCCCTGTGAGTCACCCCCACAGTATGGTGTAGAGAGAAGTGAGAAACAAGATTTGTTTTGTTTTTGAGTTTGGGGGAAGACGGTTATTAGAATTTCCATCATTCATTTAGGACAAAATCTGACCTGACTGCTGCAAGAAAGGGGAGCTACAAATGAATCCCTCACTGCCTGAAAGCTGTTACCTCCACTACTGCAAAACCCTTGATTGGCCGTGACATCAGTGGCTGGTTCTCCAGTGACGTGACAGTGTACATTGATCCAACATCAGATACAGACGCTGTTTCTACATTGTCAAGTGGTTCCCCAAGACTGCCAAGGCTGCCAAGGCTTCCAGTGCTGCAAAGTGAAAGATCTAAACTCTCCTGGCTGGAAACAACATGTGGCTCTAGCAGTCCTGGTGGAATAGCCAACTCCAGTGAAGCTTGAAACTGGTCTACAGAAATATCGCTAATTGTCCGAGAGATACCCTGCGAGCTGCAGAGGGAGGCCTGGCTTGTCGAGGCTGAGGCACTAACACTCATGGCAGGTGTGACGCTGCTAGAACTGCTGATATCGAGACTGTCTGCACTACTAGATACAGTTGCTTTTTCCAATTCAGTCCTACATTCTCCTCCTCCTGCTTTGTCCTTGATTTTTTTGGGGTCCTCTTCCTGCAAAGGGATGTAGATTTCATCTTTGAAGACTCCACCATGTGCGTTACACGCCTTCCGGATTGCACTTCTGACAATACCCTCCTCTAAGTGAGTTGGTATTCCAGAAATCACAAGTAACCGACTATGAGCTGTTGCACCCACTAGTGCCTGGCAAGCATCAGCGACAGCATCATTTGTCACACCTAGCCCTTGTGGATCCTTTTTAGTTAGGTGTCTGAGAATTATAAGTAAGGTCAGCGCTCTATGAAACCATAACATATCCTCAGGTTTGCTTCCTCCTATATTGAGAATTGCAGTGTCAGTTTCAGCAGCTCGGGATGAAGACCGTTTACCTGAAGACGATGTCTTTTCCCGCTTCATTTTGACTTTTTTCCTCTTTGACAGGAGGCTTGGGCTCTGGGGCGTCTGCCCCGGAGAAGATGAGGAGGAGGAAGATGAATCACTTAGATTTGGGGCATTTGTTGATGACATCACACTAGCTGTTACACTCATGTTTATTGGCAGAGTCACTTCTGCTACAGCTAGACAGCCTTCCATCAGAGCGTGAAAGTAGGTTGAAAATCTTCCCTGGTCAGCCACTCCCACACCAGAGCCACCACAGGCATTTCCAGACACCCAGTTCTGAGTTTCTTCATCGTATAGTTTGTGCAGTTCTGACTGAAGAGCCATAAGCATGGCTAGACAGGGATTTAGCTGAAGTGCAATGGAAGAAGACAACCCTGCTGGGTTCTTTTTCTGTTCCAGATTGTGAATTTTGCGAAGCAACTCTCCCAAGAGATGAAATATCAGTTCCTTCACACAAGCTGCCATGTCTGTCGTCCAGAGAAAGTTCCCTATGAATGGAAGACAGACAGACATGGGAATTAGATTTATTCCAATGTGACTGGCTTTATTACATTAATTATGACAACGCCATTCAACGGGTGTAAAATCAAGCAAACCCACGGGGATATTCTTCCCACAGAGACATCTTCATGCAACCAACAAATACATAATACTAGAAGGTCCTATGGCAAAACAAACCTACATTTTGCATCTCTCAAGTTCAGCAGGCTTTAAATGCAGCACCTTCATTAAAATGAAAAAATGCAAGAATACAACCTGATCAATGGGCCTGTGTTTACTGTAATGCTGCATTCAGTTTATCTTGTGAGGGATGTCTCCACATTTCCAGTTTTTGTTATACTCCGGATTGTTCAATTCGCAACACATCACTGCATCACAGGAAGTTGTCAGGGGAAGCAGGATGTACTGGCAGCTGGGTAGGGATAACTGGAGCTTTGTGGCATTTGGGGAAGTATTGGAGAGCATTTGTGATTATGGGCAAGGCTACGATTTTGGATGGAGGTCACAGCGTTCACAGTAATTGTTAATTTTAATAAAGTGTGATGACTCCTGTGAGCCTGGTCCCCTGCTCTGGGCATTATGACCTGGCCCATGGGGTCACGATGCCACTCCGGTTTGGTGCGTACACCCGGCTGGAGATGGAGGGGCGGATGTGCCAAACCTGAGTGGCGCTGTGACCTAGTGTGCACAGGGTGGGAAGCAGGGCCCGGTCCAGCCCAGCAGGACAGGAGCTACCACTGCAGGAGGAGGGAGCGGTGGGCTCAAGCTCCAACAACCCCACGTCTCTCTGATTTGTTCATGACTCTGGGTTTTTCCCCCTTGCACCTCTGCCGTGAAATTGACTAAAAATTTGAATGGCAAAATCAGAGATTTAATGTTGGGATAAGCCCATGACCTGGATGTTTTCTTAAAATGATCAGTAGAGAAGCAGTTAGTGTTTATAGAATTTCCCATCTTTAAGGTTTCATAGTTAATAAAAGGAGATAAATACGAGTGGTATAAACTGCCACATTCATGATTTTAAGCCATCGGGAGACTTAGGAGGGAAGTGAGGTTCTTACCCATGAAAGCTTATGCTCCCAATACTTCTGTTAGTCTCAAAGGTGCCACAGGCCCCTCTGTTGCTGTTTACAGATTCAGACTAACACGGCTCCCCCGCTGATACTTAGCGCTATATACACTACTGAGATTTACAAAATTGTTTTCACAACCGTGAGTGCTAGATTTTTTTAAATGAAAGCTCAGAACGGAGGCTTCTGTAGCAAAAAGTTGGCTGCAGTACTGGAGAATACACAGGGTCCTGGTTACTAAGTAACATCCTTGCACTGATGAGATAAGGGGTAAAAATTTCAAAAGCGCTTAAGTGACTCCTAAGTCTCATTTTCAAAAGTGACTCAGGCACTTAGGTGCTCTTGAAAATTTTTACCCAATGTACTTAATAGATATCAGCTGGAAAATCATGTGATTTTTTTAGTACTGAGTTTATTTTAGAATTTGGCATTATTGAACCATGCGAATGCACACTATTTTAGAGTTTAAAAACCATAAATTCCATCATAATTACTAAAGAAAGCTTAAATACTGTATTTTTTTCTTTCTGAACATTGCAGTTGATCAGCTGTTTCACTGGTAATTAAATACTCAAGAAATGCTGTACTCTCACCTAAAAGTTCCACCATTTGCAAGAGAACTGAAGCAGGGATAGTATCCAGTTCATCTTCTGATTTCACATCACCATCCTCTGATTTCCAAGTTAACAGCTGTTCTGTAAACGCCACAGCCAGAGGGAATTCAAGCGGAAGAGAGTGCAAAACTAAGACAGCTCCAGGAGGGGGGGATACTCCTTAAACAAGATGACAGAGGCATTCTCATTACAATTCTATAAACTAGAAGGCAACAACTGTGTCAAGAAAAAGCAATGTCTTCTTAGGCCAGGTTCAAACACTGTTTTACATTTTTCTAAGCTCAAGTGTTTGTTAAGTGAGGCAGTTCATTAAATCGACTAATCCTCTCATTAAACAGAAATGAAAAGACAGAAAAGGAAAATATTAAGTGAATGCTGTAGCCCAGGGGTGGCCAACCTGAGCCTGAGAAAGAGCCAGAATTTACCAATGTCCATTGCCAAAGAGCCACAGTAATACGTCAGCAGCCCTCCATCAACCCCCGCCCTCCCCAATCCCAGCACCTCCCGCCCACTGACAGCCCTGCCGATCAGCGCCTCCCCCTCCCTCCTGATCAGCTGTTTCGTGGTGTGCAGGAGGCTCGGTGGGTGGGTGGGAGGGAAGGAACGAGGGCATGGCAGGCTCAGAGGAAGGGGTGGGGGCAGGGCCTGTGGCAGAGCCAGGGGTTGAGCAGTGAGCACCTCCTGGCACATTGGAAAGTTGGCGCCTGTAGCTCCAGCCCCGGAGTCGGTGCCTATACAAGGAGCTGCATATTAACTTCTGAAGAGCCACATGAGGCTCTGGAGCTACAGGTTGGCCACCCCTGATGTAGCCAATGGTTTCCTAAATATTGGCAGGACACTAGTGCTACTGCAAAATGGAATACAGGAACCACAGTGACCATGAGTGGTGAGTCTTTGAATTTATTGAAAGAAAACTTGTTCTTTTGCCTCCCCCCCCTCGCCCCCTTATTATAAACAAATCGAGCTATTTCTCCTCCAGGCTGGAGAGACGAAGGAATGTTATTTCTACTGCAATATTCTCAAGGGGCCCTGATCGTACAGTGATGAGGGCCAGCCATATAACTATCTACATAGATAAAACTAGGTTAAAATGTGGGATCTCAAATAACAAAGCACCAACCTGGGGCAATGGTTCAGGACTGAACTTAGCAGAACAAGTCCTGCCTGCTCCGTCACCGGCCCCAATTCCTGCAGCATGCAGAGGGGAGACCCCCCTGAAAATGCCAAGTATTGACTGACTTCTGAGAACTGATGAGATCGCAGTGTGAAGTGGTGTAAGTTTAGAACTGCCTGGACAATATCAAACCTTGCCTGTTTACTTAGTGACGGTATAGTCCTATTGCCTGGTATTTTCTGATACCTGGCACAGCATAGTACCCACATGAACAGAATGTAGGTTTGGTGCTGCCTCAGGAAAGTCTGAGAAATAAGGTGATTTAGCCTGTCCTCATTTTGAAAATACTAAAAACATTTACCTAATTTGATGTGGACCTTGTCAGTGGAGATAATCACTGAAGGATACTGATTGGTTGTTGGGGGTGGTGTCAAGCCTGTGTTGGTTGGAGAGGCATCCCGAGGGTAACATACTGCCTCTGTTAGGTTTAACTGACCGTTCCTTTTTATTTTATGACCAAGACCATAGACAAACACTCGAGCCCATGGAGCCTTATACAGGGAGGAACTAGAAAATAACCAGAAAACAAATTTATTAATTAATTAAAATTCATAAAAACCCAAACTTAAGAAGGACACAATCAAGGGGTACGTCATATCCTTCTGCACTATCATCCCCCACCTCTCCCAGATAAATCCTTGGAAAGGTTTGTGAAAAAATTAACACAAGCATTACACAGAATTCCCAAAGAGGTCTGAGAGAGAGGCAGATCACAACCCAAGCCTGCACAGGGTCTCTTTAGAACTGGTTGCTCTCCCCCTTCCTTATTAACTTACTCTTTGCGGAATCCAGACTGACTTTCCTTACAGGACACAACTACAAAAGCAGCCCCAGGAAAATTAACATCCATATTGACTTTGGACTCTGAAATAGGGAACTCTTCAGCGGGGAATTGTTCTGGTGCAGTCTGTAAAATGACATTTAACAATGAAAGCCTCGGAGAAGCAAAGCAATAAGCCAAAACCCCTTCCTTGCCCCTTATTTTACAGCTAAAAATAGTACTGCAAAGTAGTTAGATAACGTGAGACCATTCATTTCAGTACTACACAGGCTATCCCCCTGCACATGTTCACAAAGTGTATAATATGACCAGACAGTATTGCAGTGTGTGCACAGAAACACTGCACTATGATTAACAGTATTATGAATTTAAGGACAGTAATAACTGACGTAAAAATATTCTGGCAAGAAGAAAAAAATCTCTCTAGAGGAAAAAGATTAATACATATTTTAATAAATTCACATTTTCTTTACAGTACTATAAACATTCAGAAAGCATCAAAAATATCATTTACCTGCAAGAAGGAACAGATTTGTTTAGTTAGTTCTAACAGACTCTCCTCTCCTTGATGTAGTGTCCGGGTGATGGCTACAGTCAGCCACTCCCTGATTTGCTGTGAACTGCCCTGGTAGAAAAGGTCTGTGGCAGAACAGTTCTGGGAATGGATACAATGCTGTAGGGACTGGGCCAAAAGAATAGAACTTGAACTGATTGTTCCATCTGTAAAGAACAAATGCAATACACTGCATATTTTGGAAGATCTCTGAACTTAAAGTAGTCAGTCAAAGAAACACTCAGATCACAAGCCTTTCTATCTGCATTCCTGCCCAAGTGCAAGTCCTCTCAAGGCTTAGCAGTATAAGGAATTCTTCCAGGGCCAAACCTGTGTCCCTGACATTGCTGACACAGAACTGAATGGAGGGTCGAAGGCCTGGTCTCATTCTGTCCCAGCATTATTCCAATCTTTACCTGGATTCCCCCAGGAACAAAAGCAGTGGAAGGGCTCCGGGGCCACCCAACTGTGCCCCCCCCGGAAGCAGTCAGCTAGCTCCCCACCCCACTGGTCAGATACGCAGACATTGCTTCCCCCCATGCCCATGTGGGTGGGGGCGTGTCCCCATCCGCATGATGGCCAGGGAGACAGAAGGGGCCGAGTAGCCCCAGCTTGAGGGGTTCTTTGAGGCTGTACAATGAGTCCATGGTGCTTTAGGTTTTCCCTCCGCACATTCCATGAGATGAAGTGGGGAGAAGTGGTGTCCCTGTCCTCAAGCTTCTCCCACCCACAAACAAGCTATTTTTAGAGGGCCGCCCAGAGGATTCAGGGGGCCTGAGGCAAAGCAATTTCCGGGGCCCCTTCCATAAAAAAAAAAGTTGCAATACTATAGAATACTATTTTCTCGTGGGGGCCCCACTTGTGTCCCCCTTGGGCGGCCCTGATTTTTAGAAGGCTCCCTATCACTGCCTCCCTTACAGACTACTGCTGTCTACTAAGTTACTGCAGGAGCTCTGCAGTGAATGGTGGCACATGACAAAGCAATTCCTACAGAGCCTGTTTGCAGAAATCCCGCTCAGAGAGGTGCAATTATACACATTAACATGATAAAAATTACTCACAGATTAGCTAAACAAGGCCAGAAATGGAAAAAAAATATTGCTAAGAAGGCAGAAGAAGCAAGGAAGTATGGAGGGAGGGTGTGCGCTTAATTACGGGCATTTAAATTTGTAATCTAGAAAAGGATCCCAAAGCCATGCAATTCCTCAAAATACTCTGTACTCCGCAGAGGAGTCACACATGATGCAGCCTCTGTGAGAGCTAGTCCAGTCTCAGAATGATTTGGAGGAGGGAAGATCTTCAAGTGCTTTAGATTAACTTTGGGTATTAACAACCTATTTTTAGCTACTTTTTAGTTCCTCCTAAGTGCCCTGCCATGTTGCATGCATCTCTTAGCATGCATAATGGCATTCGACAGGTTGATTTCCACCACTAACACACAGTTAATTTAACCCAAGATCTTTTCCCAGAATTCGGCCACATGCATTCTCTTAGACTCATGAGGAATTAGTTATCTGATTCATAAAAAGCGACAAAGAGTCCTGTGGCACCTTATAGACTAATACCCACGAAAGCTTATGCTCCAATACGTCTGTTAGTTTATAAGGTGCCACAGGACTCTGTCATTTTTTACAGATCCAGACTAACACGGCTCCCCCTCTAATACTTATCAGATTCATGACTCTGTTAAGAAAAGGATGAACTGTTCTGTAAAACTGGAGAGGAGTTGAATTTTGAAAATGAAGTGACCCAACTGGCAGCTATATACCTATACTGAATTCAAACTGTACAACATTTTCAATTTCTCACAAGTACCCACAAACGAAAAGAAGAACAGCAACATATTAAATATAATATTTGGGGGAGGAAAAAGGAGGGAAAATTCTTTCCTACAGCTTACTTTTCACGAGATCATTAATAAACATTTGCAATGAACACACCTCAGTTTAGCCCAGAATTGACTTAACTGCTTTTACATGGTGGTTAGCCCTATTTCTACCTGCTCATGAATCTAGTAAGAGATTGCTTATTTCATATGTTCATGCAAGTTTGAAAAACTTAATTTAAAAACAATAGCACTTGGCTTCATGAAACAAATTGAAAATTGTCAGTTTCAAGAAACTCCTAAACTTAATCAGTCTTACACACATTGCTATACTACTGATCAAAAGCAAATGAGCTGCTGCATTTTTCAAGTATTATTTTACCAGGAAGGGGTGGTGCAAGAAGTTGGTTGGACAGCAGCTGCAGGTGCTCCAGGGTGATGTCACGGATAGCAGGAATATGAAATAGACGAGTAAACATATGTGGAGATTTGGGGGCAAAAATATTGAGGAGAGCCATGCGGCAGTACAACCGTGCAAGTGAGGCTTCACATCGCAAAAGTTCTCTATAAAAAAGCGAGAAACAGAGTTAATTAAAATAGGAACTATACCTAGCAGCTTGATTTTTGGACCCAAAACAGACGTACGAACTTAAAAACAGCAATAATTTATTAAGTAGAGCCAAATCTTCCTTATTCACTTTGGAAAGGAAATGATTAGTGACTGAATAGGTAGGTTCTATATGAGAAACTCTAAACTTCTCACTACTGCTTATCTAGTGTTTGGGCACCAGCAGGCCACAAGTTTTAAACCTCTATGGTGCTCTTCATAGTTGTGGGGGCCCACATGTATGGATCTGATGACAGGAACAGAGCCCTCTTTACTCGTAACTCTGAGACAAGGGCAGTGAACCAACACTCTTCTCATCTCTAGAAAGAGATGAAGTGATCAATGCCTCAGTTTTAGTTAATGATCTGATGGCCCTTTTTGGCAAGGTAAAGGTATAAATTCTTCCTACCTAAAATTCCCTTTGCTTTCAGTTGGGACCTCAAATACATTAGGTATCTTCCACTAGTGGTCTTTGCTTTTACAACTTGGTCCTTCAAGTTATGAGTTCAATCCTGTGAAGTGCCCTGAGGTCCCACTGAAGTCAGTAGGAATTTGAAGTGTTCAGAATCACACTGGATTGAGCACATAGATGATAAACAGAAATTACCACCATCACAATAAGTGACTATACTAGACAAGATGTTTTTGCCCTAGCCAGAGCTAAATATTTATGAATAATTTAGAGATCATTCTTGTTTTAATAATGCCCTAATACGATCATCATAACTCCTTTTATAAAAAGATGATCTAGCCAATACTATGTGGAGATCCAATGACCTCTTTTTTAGGTCTAAACCCAGTGAGTGTACTAAGAAGGTGTTCAGAAGTTTACTTGAAATCTACTATTTAATGCAAAGCTGCAGTAATTCATTTTACCGTATGAAACACTGTACGTTCATACAAGTAGTAAGCATGGAAATACTGATATATGCACTCTAAATACATTAAATTAATTTCTTATTTACCTGTGAATTTGGATGTTTGTATTATCCAGAGTAACCAATCCATTTGTTGCAGTCCTCCTATAGCCAGCAGGTGGCCTTTCTAACATGTCAATAGGATACCAGTATCTTACCAACACACCTTCACTTCTGAGATAAGTCTCTACTTGCACCAATTCATTTACCTGAAATGTCAAACACAACGCCATCATCAATACATTGGACACATCTGTACTCAAAGAGCAGAAAACAGCATCTTACACGAACTAGCACGTTTTACCACGTAGATCAGAGAAAAATGCTGTAAACCCATTAAAAAACTTAAATATAGCTTTACTCACCGAATCAACGTCCAGAACAACACCATGGAGCCCAAATGTCTTCAGCATCCCACGAATAGCAAATTTAGGTAAAGCCGTTCCCACAGCATTGCTGGCCACATTGTTACTGTCTGGGAAGCGAGTCACCACCGTGAGGCCTGGAGATAAAGGAATAACATGTCTTCAAAACATCATTTACAATGAGAAGGTCCTGAATAAACTAACAGTATATACAAGCTGACTCCTCCCACCCAGAGTCCGATAGACTAATCTTTGGCTCAGAATGCACGTAGACTGTTTGCATTAACAATGCACAGGTTGTAGTCGCCTTAGCACACCCAATTCTGCTCTTTGGTGGGTTGTTTAACATTTTCACTTTGTGCACAGCACATATATTGACAAGTGATTCACTTTTTTAAAAAGTTACTAAAAAGGCAAAACAAAAGCAGTGATTTAACCCCTCCAATTCTAGCCATTTATTGAACTGAAAAAGTTGCAGCATTAATTCAACCAAATAATGATTTTGTCCTGTGTGCACCAAGGCCAAAGGGTATTCAGTCCTAACTTTACTCCTACTGGCAAATAAAGATTGAAATAGACATACCTTTCCGAACTTTATCAATAGTGAATTTATTTGCTTCGTCTTTGATATCCTCAATGGTAGGAAGATAGAGGTCTCTTGGGATACCACCATTTTCCTCATAAAGGAATTCTACTGTTTGTCGGGCTATATCGACCATTCCTGATAAACAGAATAGCATCTGGATTAGACGCTGGCCTTGGTCTTGTAACAAACCACGCCATCTAACAAATACATTACAACATAGTCTCATCTACTCATTACAAGCCAGATTCTGCCACCTCACTCATCACTTTGGATAAGAGATAGCAAAATCTGGCCTTATGTCTAGCACTCAAAAAGTCTAAAGCAATATCATACTGATTTCTGGAGAATATTTACAGAGCTAATCTGTTTCAGGAAAGAAGTTTGTTTACTACTGATGATAACTATTTCATAGTTAAACTAAATATTTACCTGCAGACTATAAGCCAGGGATCGGCAACCTTTGGCATGCAGCTCGCCAGGGTAAGCCCCCGGGTGGGCCAGGCCGGTTTGTTTACCTGCCGCGTCCGCAGGTTCAGCCGATCGTGGCTCCCACTGGCCGCGGTTCACCATTCCAGGCCAATGGGGGCTGCAGGAAGCGGTGCGGGATGAGGGATGTGCTGGCCGCCGCTTCCCGCACCCCCCATTGGCCTGGAACGGTGAACCGCGGCCAGCGGGCGCCGCGATCGGCCGAACCTGCAGACTTAACAGGAAAACAAACCAGCCCAGCCCGCCAGGAGGCTTACCCTGGTGAGCCACGTGCCGAAGGTTGCTGATCCGGAATGGCTTCCATATCTGGAAATGTTGCACTTGGCTTATCAAGGGCCCTAGAGTAAAAGAGTAGAGGACAGGAAAACAGAAGTGGCAGGAGCTCTACTCTTCCCACCCAGCTGAAGTGAGAAATAAACAGATTTTTCCAAAATACTAAGACCACTGCTCAACCTCATCAGCATCACAGGTACATGAGATTTTACTGATTATTTCAATTCTATCAATCAGGCTGATTTGAAGTGAGGCTTTCTTAACAATGAGCTGGTATATCCTGCATTAGAGCCCTCAACCTCTGCCACCCAGGGTACATTAAACTAAGATTAATGAGCCAATGGATTAGAATAATCACGAAACAAACCAAGAAAGAGCATTATAAAGGGAAAACCACAGCACAGGAGCTTGTTTTGATTTTATCAGAACAGAAATGTTTATCTACTTAATTGTTCATGACTTTTTTTTTTTTTAAAGGAATGTTTTATTTTAATCTGCATGAAGAAGTGACTAGGAACCTCAGTGTCAAGTGACTAGGAACAAAGACATACTCAGTCACTCACATGCTAGCTGCTATATAAACTCTGACCTACCAAGTGCAATTAACTTGTGAGTGGCAATGAAATAAAAAAAATGACTTCTAAAGCACAGAGGAGAAAGGCTTATTTACAAAGCACATGTGTCATGGAATATTCAGGCTGATTGGTCCCCCGTACATAAGCTGAGGAGAAGGCTGTTGGCTCTCCTGCTGAGCAAGTAATTGCACGTGAGGCTGAGCTGCCAAACTTGTACTGAAATGAAAAGTCTTTCTGCAGCATTCCACTGTGTCCAAATCACTAGTTTATTAACATGGAAGACGACACATCTTGGGAAAAAACCCTAACGCTAGAGCTAAGGTTTCTAGCCATAAAAATGAAACGAATTAGCATACATCTGATAGAGGTTACAGCTATGCACTTTGCCAATAGCTCCTGAATAGCAAGTAAAGTCAAGTATCAAAAGCAGATACACCACCAGGAGTTCATGAAAACTATGTAGCATTTTGTCAAGATCTTTTGGTCCTTAACCAAGTAATTTTGATTAAAAGAACTTCTATAGAAAAGTAAATGAAAAAAATCTCTGATAATACAAGATTATACAACTAAAAAAAACGGTCATAAAACAGAGAAATTAAGGTACCAACAATAACATTAATTTTAGTGTTCAAAATGAGCCAAGTTAAGCCCTGAAGAACCAGGTTAACATGTCAGCAGCCCGTATCTTTATGTTGTAATGGTTAGATCTTTGCAATGAAAAATGTAGAACCTTTTTTCTATTCCTTGCCCAACTATCTCATAAGGGGGTAGAAATGTCATTAAGCTCTACTAAATGCTAAAAAGCTACCAACCCTTTCAATCTATAACCTTTCTTCTTTCTAAAAACGCTTCCCCACAAGTTTCATATTTTCAGTCAGTATTGATATAGCTGTGTCTAAAAAGTGTGTTTAGGTGGCTTTTTAAAATCCAAACTACTACATGTTTTTCTGTTCTCATAGACTCGTAGCTCATCACCTAAAAAACAGAAAAGATTTTGCAGAAACTTTCAACAATCCTCTACCCCCCACAAAATATCTCACTTTTGAGCAGAAACCAAGCATAGAAAATATTCACCCAAAAGAAGAATGTTTCTGTAAGTTACAAGCATGTGAAAAACAGAAGACAAACTATTTTGCAGCCTTGACTCTAGTAGGTGCAACAAAACCAATCCAGCTTCCACAGTTTCATTCCTGCACCTGTTATATGCCACATACAATTACGACCATAGAAATAAACATTTGACCGTCATACCTAGCTGTAAAGCCCCTTTAATCTGGTCTAGACCAGACTTCCTCTCAGCTTCATTGCGAAACCGTCTTCTAATTGTAGGGAAAACTTTAGTCTCCCAGGCTTTAACCAAGAGAGCATAGTGATCCTCCTGGGAAGAGAAGTCAAACAAAAAACAAATAGCATTTAGAACAAGAGATTTAACGGAAACTCTAGTTTCTCAAAGAAAAAAAATCAGTTCATAACACATTTTTTAAATACAGGATTTATAGTTAGAGAGCAGCTCTGTAACATGTGAGGTGTCCCATCTTCCTTACCCGGGGGATGTCGTCATCATCATCATCATCGCTTTCGTCATCTGCAATAGCAGGGGGATGTGGATCTGGGCCTGATGTGAAGAAGTTCTCATAGCTGAGTTCCATTTTATAATGACAAGAAGTGTCACTGTCATACTCTGCAACCAACCAAATTGAAATAATGAACTCCCAATCATCACTAGACATGCTAAAACATTTCATGAAGTTCTTCAGATATGCTGCATTCTGTGGTCTCTCTCCAATCACTTGGTGGAAGTTACTTAATGCATTTTGACATAGTGTAGCACATTGAATGATTCAATCAAGTGAAGCATCTAACTACATTCAGAGCCCTAATAAAATATTTTTTCATTATGGGTACTCAGAACAATTTGAATGCTTTATTCCATATAATGTAAAGGAAAGATAACTGATTTTTAGAATGCTTTGTCTAAAATGAAGTGAGCATTTATCTGCCAATGTCTATTGTGCTGCTGTAACTATTACTGTATTTTATCTGGTTAGCACCCTGAGAATTTCAATTCGAGAACATTTAATTGGATTTAGACTGTTTTACTGAAATAAACTGAACATGCAATTTAAATGTTATTAACGATCACTTTACGTTGCTGAGCTGTGGCAACAGCAGCAATTCTACAAGGAGGTCCATGGGTTCCAGGATCAGAAGCTATGCTGGTACCAGCATCATTATCACTGTCGGAAGCCATGGCAAAAGGCAGTGCTTCAAAGTTGGCACTTATTTCTTCAGCTAGGTCAATGCACAGATCAGCCGCATTCCTGTGAGCTTGTCCCTCAGCATAGGCAAACTGGCGAGATCCAAAGTTAGCACGGACTTTTGTATTCTGTAACAACATTCAAACAAAGCATAAGAGAAGAAGCTTTTGTTTTAAAGTACTAGTTTAACCCTTTGATATGAGCTTCCTATTCTAAACCTTGGCCACAGGATGAGATCCCCACTGGTCATTACCATATCCTCTAGTGATATGGTTTCCTTGCATTATTGACCACAACGTTTAAAAAATAAGTCTGATAATACACAACTGAAAAGTATAAACCTGCTCAATACAATCTTTAAGCTTTAATTGTTCAGCCTGGTACTTTCAAGATACAGTCATTTGGACAAATGCAATTTGCAGCAAGGTCATTGTTAAAATTAAAGTGAAGTAATAGTCAAGTAAGGCCTATTAGTATATAAAGATTAGCTCATTCTCCTCATCAGACCAGCTCTACTTTATTGTCTTGATGGGTGAGACTAGCTCCCATTAAAGGTAAAGGTATATGCCCATTAGAAAGAGAATACAAGTTTTAACCCAAATTAATAAATAAAGGTGAAAATGATATTAAAAATATTTTATGGTTTCTACACAGGAACATTGACTAGTGTTGATGAAAGTCAAATACATCCCAAAGTAGGTGTTTTATTGTTAAACCTGCCTTTTTCTGAATGTGCACCACCGGCCACATTCCACCAGAGACATCCTCCAGATAAGGCCCAAGTCGCTGTCCACAATACGTGAAGTACACTCTTCCTTTAGCTGGCTGTCCTGGGGGGGGAGGAGTGCCTTCTGTTCTCTCCCAGCCAATTCCTGCTATATCACCTAGAGGAAAATAAAACATGACCAAAAAGAAACAAGGATTTTTCTGTTTTTCATCCATTACCTTGTTTATATTTAAGAAGTGTCAGGCTCTTTCAGCTAAGTAAATAAGCTGAATTCTGACATACCAGGAGAAAGGGTCACATCCAGTCGAACACTCTTCCACTGTAGCAAGCTGGAGCCATTGTAATGCACAGCTCGTCCATTACTAAAAGTAAATGTGAAGAAGAAAGTTAAACATAAAACAGCAGCCCTCTAGGGTAAAAAATCATTGTAAATGACCATCAGTTAGCATTCAGATGGTTGCTATATACTGCTAAAATGCAGCTGGAACTCTCCTCATTTTGATAAGAAATTACTATATTTCAAAACTTTAATCCCTCCACTGAAATGATCCATTCAGCACCATTCAGGAACAAAAAGCAAGCCTGGTGCCAGTCCAGAGGTGCTTATACTCAGTTTATGCAGTGTATCAGGCTGTAATTTTTAATGAACACATTTGCAACATACTTGTGAAAGAGACATGTGCCAACAGGATTTGTCCACGCGCCATCCCGCTTTTCTGCTTCAGTGGCAAACCCAAATGAAACTATTGGACCGGTGTCGTCATCTGTATCTCCATAGGAAACTATTTCAATCTCCCAGTAAAATGATGGGGCCTAAGGAAACAGCCAGGAAGAAAATGTGTTGGTCATCTTTAAAAAAAAAAAAAAAAGGGGTAGGGGGGAGAGGTAAAACAACACAGAAATTTGCTTCATCACTGTCATTTCTTACTTGTACTGGAACTGGGGAGGTAGCGTAGATAAATGTGCCACGAGGCAGTCCCCCGCCTGCACTAGGGTCAGCCAAAAAGGTCACAGCTGTAAGATGTGATGAGAACATGCATGCTCGCACAGGTGGGAACACTCTAGAAGGGCTCCAAGTAATCTCCTTGGGCTGTAAAACAGGTAAAGAGTGTTTTAGTCTGACTGCATTTGAGGTCACAAGCTAGACTTCATTCTACTGAAATCCAGTGTCCAAGATCTGCTATGGAATGCATACTCGACCCAGGATATAATTAAGTAACCAATATGTTGCATTCAAGAATGTTTTAGTGTGATGAATTTTTCTTTTTCCTTTAAACCACTGTAATGGTTTGACTCCGGTCATCCTTAGACCACCATATGAGAAACTGAATCCATTAGAGAAAGAGCCAGAAAAGCAGCACCTTGTTGATATGTTTACCTGTCTTCGGTCTGCCTGGAGTGGCGGAGGTGGGGGACGAGCACAATCTCGATATAACATTCTTAACCTTTCACATTGCACTTCTACAACAAGAAGCCTCTCCCCTGTAACAATACAAACCAAACCAACACCATTAATACTGGGAACATGAGTTTAGTTGGAGACAGTCATTTGAGATCTCAAGATTACACCTATGCTAAAAATCTCTAAATGTCACAATCAGGTCCATTTCAGAATTAATCTTTCCCTCACTTCTTCCCCCTCCCCATCCCAAAATCAAAAAAACCCAAACTGAGAAAAACCTAAGAAGTACATCTGAGAATGGCTTATATTTCAGCGAAAGCCTCATGTATGAGAGGAATTACAAATCTAAAAATTACATGGAAATTATTTCCAAGTAACAGCGAAATTTTTAGGTGAACAAAAGCAGTTGATCTGCATTAAGGGCTGTCACTCCATCTTTACCTAGCATGAATGGTAAAGAAGTACTACACAGCACTACAGCACCTAACATCCATACTATGGAAAGACACCCTCATACCTACACCCCACCGTCGTTATTCAGAATGTCCTTGATTTGTTTAATTTTCCTTATGACAATACATGTTTGTGTTAAATTTATTTAAAATAAAATCAATGAGCTTGTTACAGCTGCAAATGAAACTGACTAAGACACCATCAAATCAAACTATCCTGTTTGCTGTTAGGTAGTCAAGATGTTTCAATGCACTGACGTCTGTAGGATACTTTCAGGAAAGGGAACCTTTAAGTTATAGTTTTAACATTGGAATAAAATGGCCAGTGGAGATACTCACTAGGAATAGAATAGATTGCTATTAATGTTAAGTCCAGTACTGCATTGTTCATAAGTATCTAGTGATTTGGGGTACCAAGACAGATATGGAAGGTGTTCAACATTTTCTGAAAAATCAAGCTGCGTTAAGTGTCAAGTTGGGTGCCCAAAAGCTGAGATGCCCCAAATCACTAGTTATTTAAAAAACTAGGCCACGGAGCTTTGGCTGAACGAGAACAGATAAACCTTCTCTCCTATTAAAATTATTTAGCCTGCGGTTGAGCTGACACTGAAAGAACAAGACTGGCATGAAGTGCATGTCTCCCCTAGAAGCTGAGTGCAGATAGTGCTTGAGCTCTTCCGGGCCTAGCTAACATTTCCCTGAAGGTACTATACTGTGCACAGACCTAACTCTGGGAGCCAGGGAATTCCTGATCAAGGAAAACACTACATTTGAAGAAGAGTTGTGCTAAAGGGGATTTAACCTAATGTTCAAATGACTACAAATGAAGCAAACATTCTAAAACTGAAATTTAAATTAGAATCCAGAACAGTAAATCATACTTTTAAAATTTACATAATATTCCTTTTAAAAACTGAAATGAGTAAGAAAAGCTGAAGGTGTAAAGTAACAATTTCTCCTGGCTATTAACTATTGTTACTTTATCTGTAGGTTTGTCTGATACATAAGTCAACATGTTTTCACTAGTCCCTATACAGATAAAAAGTGTGGGTTAAAACTCTTGTTAAAGAAGCTATCCTATTCAAGTCACCTGTAATTGATTCAAAGGTTTAAACTTAATTTCTGATTACATTTATATTTGGAACATTAGAAGCCAATGAAAACAATATCTCCAAGATAGCATCCGCTTTGGGAAGCAGGGGAACCATGTCAGTGACATGGGGAAGGGAAACCTTAAGGATAAAAGACAAATTTTGTCAGGCAGGAAGAATTATTTCTTGTGTGTTTTATTTAAACTAATCACACTGAGTATATTCAGTACTGGGAACAGTATCATATGTCATAACACAGTTCTACAAAGCCAATATATTTTTAAGTGAAAGATTAAAAACAACAGATTTGTAAGAATGAAAGTTCCAAAGACAGCAGTGGAGTAACCTGAATGCTGACTACTTTTATATTACGGTTAAACAACAGTTGTAAGTCTTTCTCTCGCCAAGACAGATAAAGGCAGAAATCAACACCAAAGTGACTGAGTAGTCTTTAAAATAGGCAAGAAGAGCACTGATACACTAAAGAACGAATAAAAGAGAATAATGAAGAAAAAACAGCAGCTTACACTCAAAAAACTATGGAGAAATTAAAAAAAAAAAAAAAAAAGTAACCAAGATTTAGAGACTTCCCTTCATCTCAGTTTGTACGTTAGTATGGATGGGTATATTCATGTAAATACCACAGCTTATAAATAAATCACCATCACAGATTACTGATAAAATTATAACTTCTCACAGTTTTGAGTAAATCACCCGAAATTTCATTCAGGCTTGACTTTGCTATTGACTAAAACGGAGTATACCTGCACCCTGATGTATGTATCAGTACAAGAGAGGTTTCCTGGGAAAATTCTGATATTCTTTATCAAAAACAAGTCACAAAACCAGTGAACCAGCCATGAGACCAGAGTATTATGAGGAGGGGGAGAAACTCGACGACCATATTCACACTAGGTGTAAATCCACTGCCTTTATACCTAAAACCTAATTTTAAGAAGTCAAGCTATTAGCCACCATAAATTTATTGAGATCTCTGCAACTGTAATAAGCCACATTGTATTATATTAGTAAGTGCTATTAATACTGTCTTCCATTCCTTAGTATTTAAATAGTTCACTTTTATGTGGGATACAGCCTAGTATCTAAAGTTTAAAATTAACCTTACTTATCCGTTATCTCACTGCACTGACAAAATACAACAGTAAAACTGTATGGACATGTTAAATACATACCAGGGCTGCACTCTTGTGCCACCAGGTTAAGAACTTCTACAGCAGCTGGACATTGTTGTATGAATTCTTCACAAAACAAACTGTCTTCTAATAGCTGGGCCATCACCAGGCATGCTCTTAATGTAAAAAATAAAAAAAAGTATATTATATATAAAAAACAAAAAATATACATTATATGGTGAACTTGATGTCAATACTTGTGAAAATAATTTCAGGACTAGCCTCAAGAAAATGCGTATTCTTGTCTACTTCTGTCTGTTTAGTTGTTCATTGGGACTGCTGCAGAAATGACTTGACTAACTTCATGTTAACAAAACACCCAGCTCAACAGGTTGCCAAGTCCACTCCTGGCTATGGGGTCCTTAATAGCAGTGAGGCCATTGTAACAAAGTCAGTTAACTTTATTTCCTTTTGGAAACTAATATAATTCTTTATTAAACACACAATTGTTCCATGTAGCAAGATGCCAATATTTACATAGGAAAAACAAGCCTCAAGATGACCTCGATTAGCTGGAGCATGTACATTTTGTACAGCACCTTGTACACTTAGAGCCATTTATAAATAATGAACAAAACCTCACCTTGTTCTTATTTCTCCAAGGAGCCGGACCACTGCCATTACTGGAGTTGAGCCATCTCCTGTTGCAGGAAGTGAGGTATGAATAGATAGACTTCCCTCCTGAGGAAGCAACATGGACTGGACTGCCTGTACTACCTTCTCAGTAATGGACAGTTTATGAAGAGGCAATGCCTGATGGTGGTGGTGGTGGGGGCACGGTAAAAAGTTAAATTCAAGTAGTTAGTTTCTAAGACATGAGGGCGTTTCATCACCTGGAGTTAATTCTCATTTTGTACCATCACAAAAACAGCACCAGACAAAAATCACAAGCCAAAAGGAAAGGTAACACAACATGCTACGGAACATCCTTAAGTGCTGAAGGATGAATAATATGTTATTTGGATGAGAAATTACATATAAACATTGCTATGAAATGTTTAAAACAATGATGTAAACGTCACAAGTCATCTTTAACCAAACATGAATTAGGCTTTTACATGCTGCAGATTGTTGTCGTTGTTGTTTTAAATCACAGTATAATTACAATTTGTTATTACACTTAATGTTGGATTTTAAAATGACCTTACCTCAGACCTTGGAACACAGAGCCTAGATAATGGAATAGTTAATGTGTCTGATGCTTGTGAGGTCTTTCTACAGTCTATACTGGCAGGTGGAAATTTGACAGTTGCTATACCTTCCTGTTCATTAATAGAAGCCACCACTCCAATGCTTCCTGCTATTCCTCTACCCAAAACCTACAAAAATGAACAAGGAAGTACAACTTTAAAATTGTAAAATGATCAAAAGAATCACCTCTCATTTGAAGTATAAAAGGAAAAGAAGTTAATTACCTGTACTTCAGAACCTATTTTAATTGTCTCTTTAAAGCCACCAAGAGCACACAGTGCAGCCACCGCCTGTCGAGCAATTCTTTGAAGTTTAGCAAGTTTCCTGCCACTGCTGCTCCCATTCTCCAAGATACTCTCTGCGTATTTCCCAAGTTGTGGAATGTACATCAGAGCCCGAGACAGAACCTAAATATTCAAAGCAGAAATATGGATCAGGAAAGTGTAGGCACTGAGGACACAGATGAATTTTTTAGAAATACACCAGAGGAACTATTTTAATTTTCAAGAAGAAGTGTACGGTCATCCTTTAAAATAAGTTCTGTGATCAGTGAGTAACAAAGCCAGGTTCCATTCCTGATTCCCACATAACTGTTAAAAGGGCAACGATGTGTCATCTTCTCTCCAGCACACAGCCTGACCAGCCACAATGTATGCTAAGCGATCTGGAAGCAAAGACTTTGTCCTCCAACCATTATTTTGACCCTTAGGGGTCCGGGTGAGAGAGGATTGGTCTGTCAAGGTAGGATGACTTATGTCTTATGAAGTATAAAAAAAAGTAACACTGCCATTTATCAGCAGTCAATTCCTTGTTTCCAGATCTGTTTGGACAAATTCTTTCCCCCATCCTCCACCCACATTCTCTGAAATGGCAGATGGGCCCAAGAAGGGCTATTAGGACAGATAGTCATGTATCAGGGGGTAGCCGTGTTAGTCTGTATCTACAAAAACAACAAGGAGTCTGGTGGCACATTAAAGACTAACAGATTTATTTGGGCATAAGCTTTCGTGAGT